CCTCCGTATAATAACTTTATTGATTTTATTTCCCATAATGTTCTGGCGCGCATAGCTCGTTGATTAGTCACACGGCCGTTATAGGTAAACTAGTGTGACATAACTGCTGGTTGGGCCACTGAACTCGAGACTGGGAGGGACGATGGTTTCAAGGACAAACGATCAGTGGCTGGTGAGGAAAATTTATACGGATGGCAGCTATGTCACTTTCGAATGGGTATTTTCTATGCTATGTGATGTTCATAGGGAGGGTTTCGGTGACAGAGAAATGCCGATGAAGCCAAACAAGTAATCTTTATTGAAATTTGATACACTAACAAGAGGTTTGAAGTAGAACAGCCAAAGAATTTGTATAATGCACCATCTAAAACCAAATGAACTGTCTAAAACGAAATATTTTATCTTTCAGAATGTCAGGCAAGAAGGGGAGTATGAGTTGGGTCGCCCTCTCAGCCCTCGCCTTTCCCAGGACGGCGCTCAGGCAGATGGCACCTCGCAAGCCACGTGGAAGGGTCCCGTCGGCCTGTGGTCGTGGGGCCCTGGCACCACCGGGGCTAAGGTAGTAGGTGCGGGCGTTGTAGGAGGAGGAGAAGAAGGAAGATCACATGGCACGTCGTTCACTAAGTAGGTAAAAGTAGAGTAGTGCAGGTGGTCGGCCTCCCCGGTAGGGTGTCCGACCTGCCAGTACGGAGAACCTGAGGGCGAGAGACAAGGGTCAGCGCTGAGGGCTCAGGTGTGCCAGGTTATTGCAAGGCGTAGTAACCATGATGACCATGACAGCAATAATAATGATAATGCTGATGATAATCAGAACTAATGGTAAAACAGTGATACTAACATTGCCAACAACAGTAATAATATATACTGTACACGTATGCACACATATACGTACATACGAACACGCACACAAATACATATTTGCAAGATAGCACATAATGGAGTCCTTACCCATCGGCACTTTAGAGTTGTCATTAAAGAGGAATTCTCCATCTTCGTTCAGCTGGCCATCGACGAAGATGATTTCGCTCCAGTTTCCTGAAAGGTACGGATCAATCATTATTTTCTTTATTATACAGTTAAATCCATGGTAGCTGGAATTCGCAACTTTGCTGTGCCCAAAATCTTGTAATTTCCGCACCCAATTCCCGTGATCTGATGTTTTTCCAAATGATAGAAACCAGACACAGAGACAAAAAAAAAAAGTGTATATACATATATATGTGTGTGTGTGTGTGTGTATGGATGGATGTTATGTTATTTATCTATACATGTGTGTGAAGGTAATGCTATACAACAGTTCCACTTAATGGATCACGACGATTTTGGTAGAGATTGTTTCCTCTCTCTCTCTCTAATATCCAAATCTATGGAAATTATTGCACAGATAGCAGTGCTTCATGCGATATCGCCATGGGGGGCTGCCGTCTCCAACTCCCGCCCAGAAAAACAAAGAATTCATTTATTCAACAGCAGGAGAGCGCCTTACACATTCGGTATCTGGTATTACGGCATGTCGGTCGTATGGTCTCTCCTGCCATGCAGAGACCATACGTGGAGGATACCTTGTGTTCCATTGTTCCAAAGATGGAAGTACTGCTCTTAAATGTTTCTACTTACAAACAAGCTAAGAGAGGAAGTGCAGAGACAAGATCCCTAGAGTTCAACAGAACAGCAAGAAAGGTCCTGAGATGCTCTGAGAAGGGAAAGTACATGCTACACCTGCTCAAGCAAACGCCGTGTAAACCATCAAAACCTATAAAGAAGGAAATCCCGTGAGAACCATTACCAAAGGGGCCGGGTGTGCCCTACACCGACTAGCAAAGAGTTTTGTAGCGCCTTTCTCTGGTGCCCTAAACTCCATCAGCGGTTGCCATCTATCAAACACAGCTGATATGATGGCAAAACTGCAAAACGTATGCGTGCGGTGCAAAAATCTTGTCAGCTTTGACGTGGTCACTCTTTACGAATGTAACGACCGACAGTGTCAGCGAAGCTATAAAACGAACGCTGGCAGTAATGGACAAAGGGGAACTACTACTGCTGATAGACGACTAAGTCACACTCATCCGTCTGTGGGTGAAGTATGAACCGTTTGAATTCCGAGAACGTGAATATGAACAGATTCAAGAACTTGCAATGGGCTCGCCTCATTTAGCAGTCCTTGCCCAGCTGTTCGTAGAAATCCTTGAGGCTGACCATTGCCGAGACACTTCCCCAGCCCACGCCGGATACTTTCAATCCAGAGAAGTTTCCCAGGCTAGCTAGTGGTCGAAAAAAGAATCAAAAGAGAATAGGCTCAAAGACCACTGTAAAGTCCTCGCCAACAAATGATAATCTCTTTGACGAGAAGGATATGACTCCTGTTAAGTGCTGTAGTTATTGCAGTAGTAACAGGCTTGGGGAGGACTAGAGGTGAAGGCAGTCCAGGTCGCCATGACGGCAATGACCCAGATTGTTGCAGCTCTGAAGGGAGGGAAGCTGGAAGCCTTCAAACCATCTCAGAGCCGCTCTCCCCTTCCTGCATCTATCACAAATCAGACTTCAACTGTGCAGCCCAGGCCCTCACTACAAGCCCAATATGTACAGCCAGAGTCCCCATTAACTTGAATATTTGCAAATGGCAAATTAGATGCAGGCCCCACATCTCCCAGTGAAGCTCCAGCTAGTCTTCCAAACCAGACCATAACTGCCCAGTCCAAGCCCTCATTAGAGGCCCAATCTGTACAACCAAAGTCATCATTAACTCGATTAAGTGTAAATGGCCAATTAGTTTTGGGCCCCACATCTCCAATTGGAGCCCTAGCTAGTCTGTCAAACCAGACCATAACTGTGCAGCGAATGCCCTCACTATAGGCCGAGTCTGTACATCCAAGGTCTAAGTGATACATCTAACCTAGGCTCTACACCTCCAGGTAGACCCTCAACTACACTACCACACCACTTGGAAGATGTACAATCCTCAATCAACGAGGATCTATATACGTCAGATGCCACTAGCACTGGGGCTTCTAAGGCTGGAGACAAAGATGATGTAAGTGATTCAGAGTAACCATCGAGGCACACAATCTATACATACTACAGTGGAATATGTGTAGCTATAACAGAAAAAGCTCCTTTTTCCTTGACATCGTCATGCTCCAGGAGACATTATCAATGGGTACTGTTCGCTTCTTCATCACTCCAAGCTTGGATGGTGCTAGAGGCTGAATAACCCTGGTCAAAGCAACAATCCCATGCTCCTTAATAGCCGACCTGCCGCACTGTGAAGATGGCGGGGAATCTCTTGCTGTTGAGATACACCTGCCAGGGGGCCCCCTCAAACTGTACAATGTGTACAACAAACCACTGTGTGGCAGCTTAGATTTAAACCAGGTCTCTGATATTGCAGTACAAGACCGACAATCGTAGGGGGAATCTACAATGCACACGTCTATGCTGGATCCCTGCAGGATGGTGGAGAGAATTCGGTGGTTTGTCGATGAAACTGTTACAAGTGATCACTATGGCACAGTCACAACGCTCTTGGATGGTGGTCCAGCCCAAAGACCACAGCACATCCCCGTGGAAAACAGACAAGACTAACTGGCAAGCCTTCCAGAAGGGCTTGGCCCGCTGGCTTAGAAACAATGAACCACGAAACAGTGAAAATGTGAATGTGCTCGGGGCAAGACTAGTCCAGGCCATAAATCAGGCAGCCTCCCAGACCATCCCTAAAACTCGCTCATGGTCCATGCCAGCACATGCCACTTGAGAATGGAACGCCACAGGGTGGAGTCCTCAGTCCTGCTCATTTCAATATCCTCATGCCCAGCATACTCAACATTCGCCTTTTCTTTAGAGTGGCTGTCTCAGCTATTTCTAGTTGACATTTGTATCGATCGATACTTATCGCCGATACATGTATCGCGATACTGCCCATCTCTCTCTCTCTCTCTCTCTCTCTCTCTCTCTCTCTCTCCTATATATATATATATATATATATATATATATTATATATATATATATGTGTGTGTGTGTGTGTGTGTGTGTGTGTGTGTGTGTGTGTGTGTGTGTGTGTGTATGTGTGTGTGAATGTATGTATATATACATATTCGTATTACCATATATATACATATACATGTACACATACACACACACACACACATGCACACACTGTTTTTCATTCCCATTTCATTAGGAGCAACAGAGGATATTCATAACTGCTGCATAGAGTATTGTAGTCAAGCTATTTTTTTTTTTTTTTTTATCTTCCTTCTAACGTGTTTATATTAAGCATATAAAATATTCACTTGATGTCAAGCAAGTTTCATTATCTACCTTTTGTATATAAGAGCTATTGGGCATTTGTGACGTAATGTGGCGTCTTAATGTGTCGTGTCGTTGTCTACCGTGAATACCATAAAGTGGCGCATCGGAGTCAGAGGTTTAATGTCTTAAGGTCAAAGAGCTTATGGAGTCACGCCCCTTTATGACTCGCCGCATTACGTCACAAATGCCCAATAGCTCATAAACAAAAGAGAAGTGATGAAACTTGCTTGACATCGATTGAATATTTTATTATTATTTGGGGGTTTAATGTCTTAAGATTCTAGAGCTTATGGAATCATTGCGTCTGCACTGCATGGTTAAAGGTCTGAGTCGACGCCAGCCAAGCGAGGAAAATTCGCGCAGTCACAAACCTGCATCAGCCTCGACAAAGAAGTAGAACGCCCTCATGATGCCCGGGTTGTTGAGTCTGAGCAGATCGCCTCCTTCGGCAGCGCAGCCGTCCCGCGCCTCCTGGAAGTCGTCAACGAGGTACGGAAGGATCAGCACACAGCGATCGAAAATAAAGGTTCTGTTCCCTAGACAGATGATTGGTAACGGTGTATAAGGTCTGGGCACTGGAACAGAGAAATTTGTTAGTGTGCTGAGAGAGAAAATGAGTTCATATATCCTTTATTCTTGAAGGCAAAAGATTCCCCTTAAAATCAAGTGCAACCATGGACGGTTCGACCGAC